TAAAATAACCGTCCACTTTTGCAGATGCTTCGCAGGAAAGAAAAAAAAAGTATATAGGAAGAAAGAAAATGTTTAAAAAATGCTTTATAAACCAGAAAAAAACGTGTTTAAATGCTAATTAGAGGAAAATTAACGATTCTTTGAATGTCAAACAAAAATACGTGTAAACTAATTTATTTGAAATCCGTTTAACTTATAGTTTTCAAAAACGCATACAAAAAGATGGAAAAAAAATTTATATTCACTTCAGTATAATGCTTGCAAATTTGCGGAAAGCAAACTAGTCTAAAGCAAAGGCACTTATTCTAAACATTTGGATCATCGACTATTTCGCAAACGATAAAGTTATCAAAATTGAAGAAAATTTAGCTAAAGAATTCTGAAATCCTGATAGCCAGATGGTTGGAAAACGACAAAGTTGTAATTTTCCTTAAAAGAGTAATCATTTCTTGTCCAAGGCATGAACCAACATGAAATGGATTGCTGTCTAAATATCCTTTCGTATAATAAAGACTTCGCGTATGCAGAAAGTTTCACATTTTGTAACAGATTTTGCATAATACTAATGCCTTTACTAACTTTTATTCTATGATATTAAAAAGTATGAATTAGGTGTATTGTTGTCTCTAAAATATTTATGGTATCCCTAAGCGATTTACGTGTGAAAGTCCCATCTCCTGACATGTGGTTCGATAAAGCACGACATCCCTTTCAAAGTTCGTCTCCGATTATGCAGACGATGCGGAAGAGGACGCTCCAATTATGTGGCTCACACTGAAGGCGATATCGGCACGATTTCCCATTACACAAATGCATTTCAGAACTGCATGTTTAATAAGCAGTCTCTGTAAACGAGACATATTGACTACACGCAGGAGAAATAATAAATTAAGGAAGAACTTCTATTGTTTGATGCACATTATGCAAATTTATCATGCACAAGTTATATAATGCTATAAGAATATCTTGGGTAAGAAAACGTTATTTGCATTGGATAATTAATGTAATTCTGAGTTAATTTCGAGCACCTTATCTCTTAAATGGATTGACTGCAATAATTATTTTCTTGAAATTATTGCAATAAAATATGGCAATTCACTTTTAAATAGGCTTAGAGCAATATTTTTGGCTCAAACTGGTACGATTTTGAGAAATTACTCACAACAGAAAATGAAGCCTACTGGGAAAAGTACCTGTGATTGAAACGGCTAAATAAAGAAATTGTTTACAAAAAACAAAAAAACAACAATATTAAAAAGGTCTTTAAAAAATATAGAAAAAAAAATTAGATAATTAAATTATCACTTAGATAAAAAAAATTAAGTTTCAGTAAAAAGTGTTGGCAAGTTTTGAGTTAGTTCGATTTAAAGCTACCTTGCAAACGCTATTAATTATACAGTTAGCGTAATAATTATTAAAGTTCAGGTGTCTACTACATTAACAGTATGCTATTAATTTCAAAATTACGCTTATACAGAGAGAGACAAAAAGTATATAATATAAATACACTGTACGTAAAATATGTCTATAGTTTTGAAACGAGCGTACAAATAATAATAATAATAACAATTAATTAATGTTAATAATGATTCAGAGGACAATTATATTAACCATGTTAATTTAACGATGTGTCGATGGAAAGAGGAGGAGGTAAAATTTAAATCCTTCCTCTTATAAACAGGATCTTTATTCCTCCAATAGAGTATTAAGTTATTATTCTATTATTGTTTATCTATCTTCATGATTATTTTATTTTTGTTTATCTATGTTCATTATTATATATATAATATTATATTTAATAGAATTATATACCCCTTTCAATCACGTGATAGCTACTCAGTAATTAGAAGAATGAATACATTCTAATTATCTAACTGGCATTAAATTAAATTTAAGACATATAAAAAATGGTAATGGATCATCCAAGATTTAGAAATATGTAGAATTATATATTAGGCACATATATATATATATATATATATAGTTTTGAAAGATTTTTTAAGAAATATAATATTTTTAAAAGAACGTTTTTTATAAAAATTGCGCTTCACATCTTAGGTTTTATATTATGAACGCTATACATTTCGACCATTGAAGATTCTATTTTCTCACAATCTACTTTTCTAATTTTTTACCAAAATGTACACATAAGCTAATAAAATTAATTTGTCAGTTTTAATAGCTCCTTTTGAATCACTGGATTTCGTTCATCAATTTATACTCATTTCATCAAACATAAAAGCGAGAAAATTTTTAATTTAGTTTCAATTGTAAATTTCTTGCTTATGACAGTGTCGTGGGCTAGTCAGTGGAGGTAAAACCACATTAAAATGATGCAGTCAAACGGAATTTAGGCTATATCCTTAAGAGAGCCTATATTCATACTTTCAACACTTAGCTAAGCATGAGAATTAATTCAACTGGGATCATTCTCACCTCTTATTTTTATACTGTAATTAATTGAGAAAAAAGAAAATAAATGTTTTTAATTAATAGAATATGAGTTAGTAGGATATGAAACACAACATCAGTTTTTGGCACAACAACTCTTTTCTCCTTCTCGTAGATTATTTCATTCTTCATGTTAGCCCCAAAGCTTACCTTGCACAGGTATTTCAAGGGTACTCTTTGATACCTTACTGTATTAAACTATAGGACAACTTTCGAATCATTACAATTCAGATTTCTCCCTAATGATCGATCGAGTTGCTAATTTTAATTAAAAGCTACGTTTATAATTTCTTTTCTTAATTTTAAGGAAAAATGCAGATTTGTTTCTCAACCATATTGTAATTATGCTATTCTGTTAAATTCTCGTAGATGGCTTAGTTGAATACTTTTTTGTTGCTTGATTTTAATTAGAAAAAGAAAGTACATTTCAAGAGTCTTATATTAGGTGCTAATAAAAAACAAATATGAAAGACAATGCTTGAAGTTTCTAAAAGAACATGGTACAGACATTAGGATTTTTTTGGAAGCAGGTAAGATGAAAAATGAGCAATCGCCTTCTCCGGGAATCGAACCACGGACCTCTGAAATACCGGCTCAGCGCACTGACCACTGCACCACGAAGACACGCTAGGAAGGCGGGAGAAATACCTTATATGCTCCCCCTTTTAGAAGGCGACTGGGGTTTTTAGGAGACCCAATCGACAAATCCTGGGTCAGGAGAATCATCATCCAACACCTTTTTAGTTCGGGCGCCATTAGGCGCCCGAACTAAAAAGGTGTTGAGTCATTAGGTTGGAAAAGCCGGAGTGATGAAAAATGAGCAATCGACTTCGCCGGGAATCTTTCATGGTGTAAGAAATGTAAAGTGGGTGTGGAAGAACCTTATACATGTAGTAAATAAAATAAATAGGGCGAATGTGAATACGAAAGCGAGCGTTTCGTATTTTTCATTGCAAAAGAAGTTATTTTAAGCTTTCTCGAATTTCTCCTTTTACAAAATTATTTTTTTCCACTTGGCTTAGGTCTTATACACTTGTTTAGCAATAGATAAAGTGGCAGAAATTTCGAAGATGATACGTTTTTTTAAGTTTTCACTTATTAACCCAATCTAAGTGCAAACTTCGTCCACTTTACTGTTTACTTCATCTGACAAGTATTTTGTAGCCATATCAACAATTTAGTATATGGGAAAACTCGTTAAAATCATCTTAGCATTAAGCTAAAAATAGCAGAATAAGGCACATAATATTTTAGTTCCAGCGTATTTATAAGCAAGAAATTTAACACATATTTCGATTTGGTTTAGTTTCTTAGAAAATAAGATTGAAATTTTAGTTTTACTTGAGTGCTTTTTTGGAGGGGAGGGGAGGGTGGCAATCTTCACTCAAAGGTTTTTTTTATCCGACAACAATGAAATGCTTATGAAATTTTCGATGACTTTTAATAATATTAACCGACAGTTATCTTTAAGCGAAAACAAAGGTTAATTTTTTTAAATCTAAATTGTTTCATTTTCTGCATAGAAGCTTATTAATTTCAAAAACAGGATTGTGAATTTCCATATGAACGAAGTCTGATCATATTATGCATCCTTTCTGTAAAGTTCTAGACTGTTTTCATTTCTGGACTTTAACTAGTTGATTGGTTAGTTTCTTTCGGGAATTGATGAATTATTGCCCCATCGTATTTTTACAAGCTAAAATAAAACACCAAAGTAAAACAAATCTAAAAAAAATATTTATCTGCCTTCCCTGCTGGGCCAGATTTTCAGAACCAAGTGATTAAATAATAATAAATTATTTACAATTAAAAGTGCATAGCAGCTTGCAGGCCTAAAACTCAAAAATGTAATGTAGTTAAAAAATAGTTCCTACTGTTAAAAACAAACAGTAAAAAAACACAGATTACTAACATTCTTATCAGCATAGTTTTTTTTTTTTTTTTTTTTTTTTTTTTTTCCAGTAGTAATATAAACAGATTACCTGCTAACAGGAGCTGTATTTTTCTAAACTAAAACACTAATTCCATCTTTTTAGGAGAAGTAATAAGTACATAAACGTATCAGCACATACATCTAACAGCAAAACCTTTTCGCTTCTAGCTAGATTCTTCTTAAATTGTTTGTTTCTAAGCCCGCTATATTTTCTTAAACACTTGATAATTTATATCTTTTAGGTGGAATTGAATTGAAACTAAAAGCAAAGAGAAGAGAAACTAACAGAAAGCTGCTTAATCTTACACTTTTGTAAGAATAAGGTATTGCTTTGTATGTACGTTCTGCAAGAAACACTGATCTCTGAATAATTGCCTTTGATGCATAATCTCTTTTATTCCATTGTTTATTCTGAACTTTTCGCCAAAGAGAAAAGTGGTAGTGAAAGTAACACCTTCTTTGTTACTTATTCATTACCATATCGGAGACGTCGATCGCAATATAAGAATACTCGATAGTCGATGCCTTCGGTATGTTATTGGCAGAGATGTAATAAGAATCTTCAAAAGTCGGAAATGTAGAAAACCTAACGTAAGATTTCTATAAGACAGCTTACCTAAAGGAGGTGAGTATACTGCCGTCGTCTGTACATGAGATGTTAATCCAACGTCATAAGCAACCATCTCCTGCTTGAGATGGTCGGCGAACGTAGGATCGGGGGTGTATTGAGGTTGCTGCAAAGTGGCGTAGTGGAGGCCTCCATTGGATAATGGCGAGGGTGCACCACTCAGTTCAACTAACATAGACTTCTGCAGGTCATCCTGTTTCGCCCACTTCGACCACATCTGCTGCTGGGAAAAGAAAAATTCTCAACTTAATTTCTAAGAAATTTTATTAACTACTGGTGGTTAAAGGAATTAAAAAATAAAGTAGATATCCATACGTGTATTCTGCTCAGAGGCTATCATATACAACACTTCTTAGATATTTTATCTTGTATGTGTTAAATTACATCAATTATTTCTTAACAAATTTAAGAATCTGAAGTAACATTAATTTGTTATGGAATACAGGTAAGAAGAACCTGTCTTTCATTTTAATTTAAAATTTTAAGGAAATCCGTTAATTTTAACAGCTTTTCTTTAGATATAAAAAAAATTCCCTTACGAAAATTTTAGACTAATATTTCTTTAAAATAAATGACAGCTTTTAATCAAGTAATCAGGGTTTCACGAAATATGACACAAATAACAATTTTCCGATCAAATGCTTTTTGATCCAGATTAATGCGAACGCTTTTTCAAGTGTGATAACTTGTAAATAACCATGCCAAAATTATTTAATATATTTCATGTCATGACGTGATGACCACGCATGCGCAGTTTTAGCCCAACGGCCTGCAGCGCCTCTCTCTCTCATGTGACTTACTAGAAAAGAGTAGTTAGTTAGTAGTTAGTAGCAAAGTAACGAAGGTAACATGCTGTATGCCAGCGTGAATGAAAATACGCAGTTATACTTTTGTGTTAATCGTTTGTTCTTGTTTTGTTCGTGAGTTAATAAAGTCTCTGTGCTGTTAAATGTTTGGTTTTATGCAATGCCCACATTACGATACGTCTATGGTAGAAATTAAATATATTTCCAGAACCTACACGCCCAAGAAGCAGGATATGACATTTCAACTACAGATATTACTTCTTTATTAGTCATAAAAGGGGTAGAATCTATGTGCTAATCACGAAAGAGTTAGAACTCATTTGATAATTATGGAAAGAATAGAACCCGCATGTGAGTTTGCTAATCACAGAAGATATAAATGGAAATTAAAATATTTGAGTACTTTTTTAATCTTGTGATAGCCCTAGATATTCATACACGATACGAAATTAGGCAAAAATGGCACATCACTTGAAATCGCCTCGGTTTTCTAAGACTTGTAATCAACAATGCCGGTAAAATATAATACGCCTCTGCTGTATGAGTTTTCGAAAGGATACCATAGATGAGAGATAATATTCGGATAAAGATATAGTTAAAGAAATGTGTTGTGTACCGTATTGTATAGCTGGTCGCCATTGTACTGCGTCCTTTGTCTTTTCGCTTCTTCCTCCTCCTCCTCTTGTTGTTGATGATGCAGAGCCACTTCTCGAGATTCGGCAACTACTGCAAAAAGCAACCCAAAATTATTTAACACACCTATACATATCCAAAGAATCATACAAAACTTACGTCATAAAATAAAAAAGTATAGTTGTAAAATGTGTTGAAATTAAAGTATTAAATACGTATTAAGAACGGCTCAGCATTTGTGTGTAATAAAAGCAAATAAATAAATAATAATGATTGTAAAAATAAAAATAATAATAATAAAAAAAAATAAAAAATTCTCTTACTAAACAAAGAAGGCAGACAGAATTTTTTCGACTTTAATTAGCATAAATCAAAATCATGATAATAAAGTTTTTCTTAACAAGAGCTAAAATTATATAACGTCATCAAATTAAGACCTCATTTCCCCTCTTTCAACAAATGGTACAAAGATGTTATTCAGACTTGACGCTAGTGTTATGTAGGTTAAGTTAAAAATTTGTTCTACTCTCACCTGAAGAACAACAAAATGAGATGAAACACGAATTTTAAACCACATTGTTATAAACTATTATTTAAAAATTATTTTAATTATTGAATATTTAAAATTGTTAAGTATAAGTAAATTGTAAAAAATGAGCAAATTAATTTAAATGAAAATATGCAGCTTATAAAAGGCTGAGTGGTTTTAAAGAATTTAAAATGTATACGTAATTGAAAGTGCTTATTTTAAACTCGATGACGTGTATCTTAAAAACAATGTTGTCATCTTGAAGGTAATTTTATAATTGAATAAGTATCTCTTTAAAATGTATGGAAATGTGGAATATTGCAATATACATAAGCTTGTTTCAATACTATTTAACTCAAACACTCTAATCCTTTAAATTTTTTAATAAAAATTATTTCTTTTCATTTAGAATCATCAGCTGTACAGCTTATTTTCTGGTATTAACTGTATATTATTGCAGAAGAAATTAAAATATTTTCAGGTGCGGAAAGTAGCAGTATCTTTAGTTTTACCATCAATCTAATGTAAAAAAAAAAAAAATGTAAGCCAAAATAATTTCCGTTTGTCAAAGACATTGACTTTTGTCTAAAAAGGTTACACAGAAGAGCTGGCCTTTAAATAACTTTTGGATCAAAATGCAGTTGTATTAATGAATGCAATTAGTACAATTAAATAATAAGCTATCGTTCATAACTGAAAGCAGGCTTTCACAATGTTTCAGTTATAAATTCTAGAGGAATTTATTCTGATATCTGTGGCTTTATTGCAACGCCAAATACTTGCACGTCCAATATTTTACTATGTCAAAGGATTTAAGAGATGATACAGCTCTAATCATGCAACTGCATTTAGAATAAAACTTAAATAATGAAGATATATTTTGAAAATTGTAAACGCTTTATTTTACTTCTGGAACCCAATTGCATGCATCCTGTTACGTGTTATGAAAAGACCACTTTTATCATTTACTTGACGTTTTCCCGGGCCCAATGAGTTTATTGTGGATTGTGGCCTAAACTCAAGTTTTCATTATCTGTATATAGTCTACACCTGCTAATGACTGGCATGGCATAATGTGCCAAAACGTAAGCTCAAAGTGGATGCTAATCGACGTTTTTGAGTGCAATTAAATATCGCGGAGCGATGTGTCCACGCAAGCGTAACCGAATGTAAACAAAGTTTCTTAACACCACTGAAATCCTACTTTGTTTATGGTGTGGAGGTGTAATCCGAAGGCCACGTGTATCTCATTTTGGAAGAAATTCGGAGTCTGAGAGTTGCCCCAATCGGACGATTGCTGAGTCAATATAATCGCAGGTCGGCATAACTTAATAAGCCCTTGTCTAACGAGCGCTGTCGTTATTGGGCGCTTACGTTTCAGGTCACTGGTCGCGGTTCTACCGCGTACTTCCCGATTTGAGGAAAATGAACACCATTTCCCGGTCTCTGCGAATGCTAAATATTGTATGTAAGAGAATATTTACCACAATTCTGGGAAAAAGTCGCATTTTATGTTACGAAAAGGGAACTCGTTTCATTGCTGTCGATTAGAAGCAAAACAGCAACTCCTATCCCCCAACAAGTGATGAAAGATAAAATGTATTACTTAATTTTTATTACAATTATTTATTGTATTTTCCCCGTTAGTTAAATAATTTTGTCTGGACTGACTAAAAACTGAGTTTCATTAATATATTGTTCTCAATATCCTTCACTTTCTGATTCCACGTAACCACGTAACGTAACTTTTGATTTCACGTAACCTAAGTAGTCTGAAAACATAAAGAAAGAGAAAACGTTTAACAACCGAACTTTCTGCTCTAGGTCTTTTGCAGTTTTTGCTATTCTGGTAAATTACAACATAGTCCTTGAATTCGCCCATAAAGTTTAGTCTTATATAGCTGGCTTTTTACCAGAAATGTGATTGGAGAATAAATCGCGCTCCAACAAGTAATTATTGCAGAAGCAAATTAAGTACAAAAGCGGATAAAAGGATATAAAAAAGTTAATTATCTCTGTTAAGACATATTTATGTAGATAATTTTAAGCAAAACTTTTGGCTAATTTTCAGATGATGGTTACGGTTGGCGAGTTTTTGAGTTACAATAGACCATAACCTCTCCGACAAATGACAGGACAATAATGTTCATACAGAAGCGCTTCCTTAACGCATTTGGGAACTCGTGAATATGTTGGGGATATCCGTGAAATCTTTCTCACCAAAAAGTGAAACATTGTTTCAAGGAAAGAAAAATGTTACTCTCGATAAAACGTCCGATTAAAAATTTTCAGTTTTCATTATTTAATTAATATTAAAAATATGTAAATTGAAATGTTTTGAAGGTACACCAAACAGTTCAATGTTGTAAAGGATGTAACTAACAGTACTTCCTTATGAAATGACTTAATGACTTTGAATCAAATTTATTCTTATTTTTTTAACATATTTTATCTGCACAATTTTACACCGCTTTTCAACGGTGTAAAATTGTGCAGCTTTCATTCAGCTTTTCATATGACTTTCTTTCTTTTTAATGACGAGCCCACCAGCGGCCGAGCGGTAAAGACGCTGAACACTGGTAGTTCGGTCTGAGGTTCGAATCCCGCGAACGGGCTGGCTGCATGGGCGTTTTCGTGGTTTCCCATGGGTAACGGTATACGAGCCAGTTTCCCTTAGAAAGTCCTCCACGAAAGGCATCCCTCCCTTTAGGCAGATAGCCCTCGTGTGCTTTGCCATAATTAAATACACCAACACCTTTTTAATGACGAAGTGCAGCCGATCCCACAGTGGCAGTTAGCAGGTTTGTCAGAGGGCCGCTCTGACACTTTGCTAATAACCAATAAACGACTGAAAAAATAATATGTTTTCCCTTGAAATGATATTTCGGCCTTCCCTTATTAACACGGCAACCGCGGTTAGTAGCCATAACTGGCAAACTTGGCAACCTTAATCCTAAATTTATAACAAGGAATTTATTTGACTCTAAGACGTTAGTCGCCAAAATGTCACTAAAGAAATACATGTGACCACATTAATAAGGAAATACCAATAGTTCTAATTGACGGCCAAGTTATATTTAAATTATTAATAAAAATTTTATAACTAAATTACCCTTAGGTATTACTATCTATGAGCTTATCTGTTTTGATCTGAATGAAGAGGATTTTTGTTTACATCTTGTGGAACAGCAGGCAGATAGCAAATGACTGCTGATCACCTTTAGCGGATATTCTAATTGTTTGCAATAATACTACATTCATTATGTTCTCTGGTTAATGGCTGATAATAACTAAAATTCCCAGCTTTTGTAAAAAAATAAATTAATAATTCTTCTTCAGAAAGCGAAAAAAAAATGAATTAAAAAATTGGCAATTTTGTACATAATATTTAATTGCTTCTTTTATATTCATTTTTTTTTAAATTATGAGTTTTTTGCTAACAAGAAGTAGAAATGAATAAACAGAATAAATAAAAAACATATAAACCAGTGCAATAAATGTTCTTGTTGTGTCTTATCAGTGGGATACATTATTACTATGAGGAAAATTCTGCAACAATCGGATGGCAAAGGCGTTCCGGTTCCCTGATCCTAAATCTCGGTCACATTTTCTCCGACATCTTCCCTTGCAATTATTTTTCATCGGCCACTCCTGGATGTAAAACGTCAATGTTTGGTAGTATTCCAGTTCCAGGTAGGAAATAAATGAACGCGGAGCTACAGTTTCGTTGTTCGAAATCATATGTAACCTAGCGCAAAACACTCATGTTGAACATGTTTCTGTGGATGTTTTCCTCACAATAATTGAATAAATAAGACCTGTTCAAAGAATGTTGCTAGGCTTGAATAAATGAGATGAAACTGGATTGCAATTGAGGACATTTGAAATTTAAGACTATAAGTATTGCAATTATATAATGCAGACCTTTTCTATTTAAAAATAAAATTAATAAAGTGAATAAAGACTATTATCAAATAAATTGTTTCACAATACATCCTCCCCCATATATATAAAATCAAGAGATAATGATTAAATCGAAAATGGTGGCTAACTAGCTGACAGGAAGAACGCAAATCAAAACCGAAACATTGATTGAATAATTATGATTATTTGTTTAAAAGTTAGGAATTAGAAATGTATAACAAATGACACGAATGCTAAAAATTGCTAAAATTATTTGCTGAATAATTATTTAAAACACTGTTTCAAAAAAAATTTGCTACATTAATGTATTTTTTATTCGTTTATAAATGTAATACAATATATGTCTGTTTTGCAATTTTAGTATCTATATTCCAAATGGTTATTCAATGCAACAGTATTAGAATCACTGGATTTAATGTAAATGTGATAAATATTTAAAAGGATTAATTTTAAATACACGACAGGGCAAAAATGCCCCCTCCCCATTTTTTCTGAGTGATAAGTATACCGTGCTCGTTTATGAGTTCTGAATTTGTTGTAATCACCAGTATTTGTGTAATAAAAAGAGCTAAGAAATAAAAGTTACATCCACTGTCTCATCATCGAACTTTATTAATTGTTTCTCATTATTTCTGCATAT